ACATTGGACTTCAGACATTTTGACGAGGGATTATTTGGGACTCGTAACGAGACTTGGTGTTGACGACTTTCCCATCTCTCCCCTCCTCTTCGTCTGATCCCCTCCTCTTCGTCTGTGCATGGCTAGACCTGGCGCCTCTTCCTGTGTATAGCGCCAGGCCTCTTCACACCTGGTGATGAGCATGATGTATGTTTAGTCTGCATTGTGACATTGATTGGGCTAGTCATTAGCATTCTGGCATTCTGTTTCGCTATCTTGTGCTATGTGAATGAGGTCAGTCCCGGTCAGGTCAGGATTTGTATCTAAGTCTTCCCTGCGCTATTCAGCATCATTTTGTATGTATTGGAATGCACATTGCTTGTTGAGATTCTACTTGCACTGCATTGTCCATTCAGTCCTTTTCATCACATTGCGGATCCTCGGTTCTTATGTACATCGCCCAACTGGGCATGTAACAGTTGGTATTGGAGCTTCGCACGTGAATCAGGACAACCTGATCTCGTGTGCGGGGACTAGGTAGCTGATTAGTCTTGATGGATTGATTAGAGCACACTAGTTAGACCCCAAAATCACGATTTCGACCTTACTGCCGAAAATCGATTTTTTTTTTCTTTTCTTAGATTTTGTTTTCTCACTATTCTGTTGTGGAAAATCGCAATAGCGCAACATCTGAAATTTCCATTTCGTTTTTCTTCTGAAAATCCGAAATTTCGTTGTTGGAAATCCGGAATATCTTTCTCTCGAAAATTTTGATTCCCTGTTGCATTTCCCGTTATTGGAAATTCGGAATCTTTTTTCCGACATTCGTTTTTCTGAAAACGGTACGGGAAATCCCTCTTGCAGTACCATTTTCCGAACTGCGAATACTCTCATCTGAGTAAGTCCGAATACTTGGTACTTCTTTTCGGAATTTTTTTCGCAGTTCTATGGCAGTCTGAAGTTCGGATTTTTTTCCTCATTGATACTTTCGCACTTCAAGGGAGGTTGGGAGACCTACTGAACTTGCAAAACTCGGGATTTTCTTTTTTTTTCGAATTTTTTTTGCAAAGTTCAAACTTTTCTTTTTGATTTGTGGCTCCTTATCTGGGCGATTCATCCCCCCTCCCCACCTATGCTGTTGCCCCATCTGGTCTACTCTATCTCCCTCCGGGTACTCCCTGAGGCGGCATTGGTTGCCATGTCAGCAGGCCACGTCAGCAGTACACGGCATTGGTAAGTAGCCACGTCAGCAGGCCACAACGGCAGGACACGTCAGTGCATGGTGCTCACCTGCTCAAAGACAAGCGGCATGCAGCAGCAGCCAGGCGAGACTACCGAGGCCTATGATGCCCGCATGCTGGACATGGTAGCCGAGTACAAGCAACGGGCAGCTGCGGCAACGCCCGCACGTAAGAAGGAAGACGATGAAGCAGAGGAACAGCGTCGACTCGCTGAACAGCAGCGACAGGCGGACGCTGAGGCAGCAGCTACGGCCGCAGATGAACGCCGTCGACTACGCCGAGACAAACTCCTCGGATGCGAGGGGGATATCGAGGTGATCGCCGGCGAATGGGCAGTGGCTGCTGAAGAGGAGGGTGCCCCCTCTGCTGTGCGTGGCCTTGCAACCACAATCGAACATGTGAGCGACTTGGTCGCCACCTGTGCAGCACAGCAAGAGGACATCCTCTGCATGGACACCCTGGTCCGGAAGCAGATTCGCGTTATCGATGAATTGCTTGACCGGGTACATCGGCTGGAACAGCAGCTTGCAACAGCCACCCCCGCCGCACCCTCCAACTTGGCGGATCGCATCAACGTCTTGGAGATCGACGTCGAGACTCTCAAGGACGGCACCATAACGACAAATCAGCGGATTGACCAGCAGATTTGCGCTGCCGCAACCAGTCCTACCGCGACCACTCGTGAGAGCATTCCCAAGTTTGACGGCCTCCCGATCTTCTGCGATGCAACGAAGACGGACCCGATCCCTTGGTGGCGTCAGTTTGAGCTGAAGTTGGACATTCACCACGTCATCAATCCGAACCGACACTCGTACTTGTACTCCCGTTCGGGAGGTGCGTGCCAGGCATGGCTGGACAACATGTTGTCGATGCACAACGTCGCAGTCTCCGAGCTGCATACGAAGATCAGCTGGGCTGATCTCAAGGCAGCATGGCATAAGCGGTTCCAAGTGGAGCCGCCCGAGCTTCAGGCAGCCGAGAAACTTCAACGGTTCTATCAGAACGACCTGCCAAGCACGGACTGGATCACCGAGTACCAACGCTTGGCATCCACGCCTAACTTGCCGTCGACATTCGTCACTATCAAGCACGTCTTCATCAGAAGGAGCTGCCCGGCGTTGCAGAACGCCTTAACGCAAGTTACGGAGACGCTCACCACAAGTGAGCAGCTTTTTGACAAAGCCTCGCAGATCATCCTGACGAACATTGAGGCCAAGAATTTGGGCCATTCGTCTGCTGCAGGCCAGGGCAGAGGACAGCATCGGCCGAAAGTGGCAGTGGTCGCAGCAACTACAGCGACCAACATTTCAAACGAGACCGCCTCTTCTGAGGAAGGAGACAGATTGGCAGCCGCCCGGGATGGTGCCCGCCCCGCCAGAGGGCGAGGACGCGGCAAACCGAAGACACACACCACTTCAGCCCCCGGGGCCGGACCAGCGGCTCAAGAGCCTTGGACACATTACGGTATCTCGGAAGGCGTGTACCGCATCCGTTCTAAGTACCGATATTGCTTATGGTGCAAGAGCGCGGTGCACGACACCGCAACGTGCCCCACACCGGTCCAAGCCAAATGCCCTTCGGGAAAGCGAGCACCGTCGAGAGTGATGCGACTGCACTCTCGACGCCTCCGAAATCGGTTGCTTCGCGAGCGACCTCTCTTCATTCCGAGGCACATGCGGAAGTCGACAGTCCTCTCTTGTATTCTTATGAGGACTATGATGCCCGGCTCGTTCTTTCGCTGGGTTCTCAAGCTCAAGGACAAGATGTGTGTGCGGCTTCTTCTCCGTCCGGCAACAGCAACAATAGATCGTCTTCAAGTGGCTCTTCAAGGGATTCGACGCACGAGTTCAACATAGAGGTCTTGGACCCGTTGACGTCCGAGGACTTTGCATGGCTTCCTCTCCCTTCCACAGGCTGCTTGCCGTGACCGCAATGCGCAGCACTATGCGCCCATCTCCACACATACTTAGCCTTATATGCACCACCATCTTCGCCGATGGATGACGAAGCTGCGGTGGGGGACGTCCTTGCGTATGTTACCAAGGTGGCCCGCGAGTTTCGCATGCAGCGGTATGATGATAACAACGCACCGATCCTCTACGTCCGCATCCAAGTTGGGCAAGCGTCCTGCAGCGCTTTGCTGGATAGCGGCGCGACTCGCAATTTCATCAGCCAGTCCTTCATCCAAAGGGCCGGCCTTGGCGCTCAAGTTCGAAGGAAGCCAAACCCGACAGCGATCAAGTTGGCGGACGGTCGGACGCAACAACTCCTCGATCGCTACATTGAAGCCGTGGCGGTTTATTTCGCACCTCATGCATGCGAACCGGTGATGTTTGACGTCTTAGACACGGACTTCGACATTATTCTGGGGATGCCTTGGCTTGCAAGTGCGGATCACACGGTTAACTTCCATCAGCGGACACTTACCGTTTGCGATGCCTTGGCTTGCACCGAGAAACCATCCATATAGAGCAATATAATGAAGTAATGAGCCAATGTTCACGCCCGTAGGCCACACCAACACAGTGTCCAAAGGCGCTCCTCTCCTGTCTGGCGCACAGCGCCCAGCCTACTCTGCCCGACTATCCTACCTACAGCTGGTTCACGCAACAGGCTCACTTCGACTCTCGAAGACCAAATTATGTACATGACTGTGAACACCATAGCCGACCTCTCTTCATGCACCAGGTACGTATCTCGTCACCCTCAATCAGACCTTGATTACCCCACACTGTGCCTCCTTCCCTGAAGACCACCAGATCACCCGCTGTACCAGCTGGCGCCCAGCAGCCCGGCTATGGCTGCCTGCGCCCCGCTGCCCTGCAGCGCCCCACCTCACCACTACGCGCCCTGTCAGCGCCCTTGGCAGCAGCGCAGCATCAAGCGATAGCACAGCAGCACTTCCGCATTGCCTGCACTGGCCAGAATAACTGGCCTGGGCTGCCTCACTTCTTTTATGGAAGTGGCAACCTCCTGGATGCTGCGTGTGGCCTGGCTGGAAGCTTCCAGTAGCTTCCGGTTGGGCCTCAGACCCTGCGCCAAGGCCCGAGACTACAGTTGAGGGCCTGGGCTCTTTTCAGTTAGTCGCCGGAGTTGGGCTGTTTGCTGCATCTGTGCAGGGCTCCCAGGCAGGTGCGTCGGCAGTATTTCTTTTCCAAGGCCGATGGCCTGCTTCCCAATGCATCGGCCCTGCTTTGTGTGTATGTGCCCAGGCGCAGCTGTCAAGGCCTGGGCCCACTGTATGACGCAGCTTTGTGAGGCTCACGCGTCTACCCAACCAACTGGCGTGCTGCGAGAGCCTGAATACCCACGTATGGAAATGTCGAATTTTGGCCTCTGACGAATATTCAGGCCCGCCTTCACTTAGGGCGGCCACTCGGCTTGCTTGGGGCCTTAGCCCAGAACATGTGATGTCTGATAGGGCCCCTTGAGGGCTTGTTCCTCACAAAAGGCTGCCCCAAATACAGCTATCATGACTGGGTGTTCCATTTGGCTCATTATAGCTGTATCTGGACTGAAACTTGCCCCCAGATACATGGCTGGTGTGGTTGGTGGGTCACATCATAATGACCCACGGGCCCTGTTGGTACAGTCATGAACTTTTGAAATACAGACCCAATTTCAAATCCAGATGCAATGATGATATCTCAAGTTCGCCGCCGTTTATTTTATTTTTCTAAATGCCTTGCTGGTTCTTTTTTTGTTTTGTTTTTTTTCAATCCCCCTTTTCAAAAACAGTCTGGACCATTTCTTGATTTATGCGTGTCATCCTTGCGCGCAGGGGCCATGCTAATCTTCTCTGGATTAAAAAAAATCCAGAGAAGTGGAGACACACAGAAATGGGAGAAAAGGGACCATCAAAACAAAAACAATATGGCAACATGAAAAATGAAAAGAAATTAAAAAGTTGCTGACTCGGGCTTGTTTTTCGTTCCACCTGCTGGCCATTCATACACAAAGGGCAGTAGCAGGGTACCAGCTTCATTTTTTCGATGGGCGGTGCCGGTCAGTTTTGATTGAGCAGACTGATCTGACCGGCACTACCGTCTTCACCCGACCGAATACACCGTACGGTCGAAATTGATGTATCTAGACTCGAAGTTGCCCCGAATACAGCTATAATGACCTTACGTTGTATCCAGGTGAAGACAGTAGGTGAAGACGGTAGCCAGGGAAGTGCAGCATGTCAGTTTGCGGGCTGAGCAATTCATGGCTGAGGAAGAAGACCGCCGCCATAGCCAGTCTGGAGCCATGGTCAGATTGGGCACTGACGAAGAAGAGACTGAACCTAAAGCCAGGTTGGGTGTGAAGGGGGTAGAAAAAGGTGGCGCTGGGGGGGGAAGGATGGAGGAGGAATGGGGGGGGGGGGGGGGGGGGGGGGGGGCAGGGGGATCCTTGAGGGGAGAGGAAGACTGTGGAGAAGTGAAGAGTCGCGTGGCGCCTACCTGCTGGTCACTGAGAAGTGAAGATTCGCGTGGCGCCTACCAGCTGGTCACTCAGAAGGGCTGCAGATTCTTGGGGAAAGAGGAAAGACTTGGACAAGCGAAGAGTGGCATGGCGGTTACCTGTTGGATCACCGAGAAGGGCTGCAGCAATCTGAACGGAAGCATCGTGGTACTCGGTGGTGTGACACCCAGTGTTGAATAGGATGGAGCCGATGATGGAGTCGTCGCTCAATTCGGCTGGTTCGGAGACCAGCGAGGGCTTTCATCGTAAAGAGGCCTCAGTAGTGTGAATTTGTGTGCTCATGTGATCATTGCTTGTCATTTGTGATGTGATGATGTGCATGTTGAGAGAGAGAGAGAGAGAGAGAGAGAGAGAGAGAGAGAGAGAGAGAGAGAGAGAGA